TGGGAGCAGCTTTTTTAGGTTTGGCAGCTGTCTTCTTGGCACCGGCGACTTTGGTCTTTTTGGGTGTAGCTGTCTTCTTGGTGGTAGTTTTCTTGGCTTTTGGCTTCTTTGGTGTAGAGGCTTTCTTGGCAGCAGGCTTCTTGGCGGCGACTTTTTTCACCTTGCTGGGTTTCTCGCTTTTGCTTTCACCGAGTTTGAAGGAACCGGCAGCCCCAGTGCCTTTCGACTGCTTCAGGGTACCAGCTTTGACGCCGTTTTTCAAAGCGTTCTTTATTCTGGAGTTAACTGCTTTCAGGTCTGTGCCGACTTTGTAGTTTGCCATGACGTACTTCAAAATGGCTTGTCTGGAGGAGCCGCCCCTTTCCTTCAAGGAAGCGACTGCAGCCTTGATCATATCTACATATTTCGGGTGAGCAGCTGGCACCTTAGGCTTTGCTGAGGTCTTCTTCTTGGGTGATTTGTGAACGGGAGCTACGGCTGCGTCAGTCATCTTGGATTGCTTCTTGCGAACGTCGTTCTTCTTCTGTGTACGAGAGGAAAATGAATAGACTAAACGCGTGTATTGTGTAGACCCATACAAGAATTTTGTAAAAAAAAAAGTGTTCGATCCTATTTTCAAGCGAAAAGTGTCCCTTTTCAACCGTTTTGCCTCTCGGCATAGGGGGGAATGAATTTTTTGTCTATTTCACCTCACCCGTGGATCTGCTTTGATCAGGGACGAATAACGAGAGTGTAAGTTGGTTTGTACAAGAGAGAAAATCTAATTAGTAATTCGTTAATCTGGTAATTTCGCGCGTGTTCACTACTCACTTGACTGTTAGACACCGCACTGTCCACATCACGTTAGTACTCTAAATTCAACATGCCGCCAAAGGTTTCTGCCAAAGGGGCTAAGAAAGCCGGAAAAGCAAAGGCCGCACGTAGCGGAGACAAGAAGAAGAAACGACGACGAAAGGAGTCTTACAGCATCTACATCTACAAAGTGCTGAAACAAGTCCACCCCGACACTGGAGTCAGCAGCAAAGCTATGTCTATCATGAACAGTTTCGTCAACGACATTTTCGAGAGAATCGCTGCCGAAGCTTCAAGACTCGCTCACTACAACAAAAGATCGACCATCAC